TGCTTTTTGGCAACGTATTCTTTTGATGTTGCAGGGCCCATTAATTCATTACGTCATCTATTAACATTAATATTTTAGAAGAGCAGAGCAGTTAAAATTTTCCAAAGCAGCACATATTGAAGACTTACAGTTTCCCACCTCTAAGCATTTCCATGTACACCATCTTTCTGCCCAAGTTATTTCACATGCAGAAAAGCAGATTTTCACACTGTGGTATTTAAGTAGCTCATCTGCACACTCACGTGCTCAGCAATAGTTATTAATGGCATCCTACTGTGAGCTTTTATGTGGACAGGACAAGAATAGGAACAGGCCATGCAAAATCCAGGCAGCGTATGAAATTGCAACTTCATCAGCTTTCTAAATGTAATAGCTCAGTTTTATAATTTCCTGAAGTTAATGGGATATATTTTTAAAGCAGTGCACTGTTCCCATTCATGGTAATGTGAGTCGTGCATATAAATCCCCCTGCAACACTTTCAAAATTCTGCCCCCAATATGTTCTGCAGATTGAATTCTGGAAACTAGCTATTTCTTTAGGTTGCTGACCTGTCTTCAGAGAAATGCTGAAGCACAGAAAAAGCAGCTCAGCCACTAAGATTTGGGAATTACAGATCTCCTTTTTATTTCCAGTGCTCATTCAGGGAAGCTGTTTGTTAGTAAACAATGAGGAATTATTAGCTTGCTGTTCTGAATGGAGCTCTACCTTTCTCCCAGTAATGAACATTGTCCCCCTTTGTTTTAGATGCCAACGTGGACGTCATCTACATCTGCCCCCTTCATCTGAGTGAGGAGTTACTGCAGTATTACAATAAACTCCTGGGTCTGCAGGCAGCTGTTAGATCTGGGAACCCTGAGGACATGGGTGACCTGCAGGACAGGTTCAAAATTCTCACCCCTGAAGCTATAAACAGCTTTCCTGTGAGTTTGTCTTCTAATTACTACAGCTTGGGGGATGCAGTAAAATTAAATTGGAAATTTTATAACTTGTAACGCTCTGGTACACATCAGTGAAATATTATTGCAAGTTTAAGGGCTTTACTGATTAGACTACTAGTTAGAGCATTGGAAATAAATATCCTGGTTTAGCTTTATAGACCTGGTTGAGATGGTCTTGTATTGGCTGTTTGCAGACCACTGTCTCTTCTTCCTGTATGCTTGGGACTGGGAACTCGATATATTTCTCTCTCTAAGCAAATGGTAGCAATAAATCATTCTTATTATTCAAACTTTATCTCAGGGGAGCCCAGCATTCAATCATTCATGTGTTTCTTGCAATTAAATCCAATGAAGAACATCTTAAAGAATAGAACTTGAAACTACCTAGGTTAGGTAATAGAGAAAGATTAGTTCCAAGCCTGTCAAGTGGGTTTTAAATCCATGTGCTAAAACATGGTCTAAAATGAGCCCGCAATGACTGGACACTACATACAGTGTTCCTGAAAATTACTGCAGTGCAGTGAAGGTTCTTTAATATTGTAAATGTTAATTCCACAGTGTTTTTGCTCAGATGTTATTTTTATGAAACTTTGTGGCACCTTTAAATCTCTAGGGTCTGTGCTTGAAGCCCTGCTGCTGTTTTTGAAATACATTAATAACCCTCTTCTAGTTATTTTGTTGAACAAGTGTTTGCTGTCCTGGTTGGAACTGATGCCTTCAGAAAGTAAAGGAGCCTTTTGTATTTCACAAACATGTTGATTTTCAAATGCAGTTCTACAGTCACACACTGTTCAGCAAAAGCCTTATATTATGGATCCTTTCCTGTTGAAATAGTGTGAAAACACCTATGTGAGAAAAGGACTGTATAGGGAGGGACTCCTGAGTCACAGCTCTCTGATACTTCTGCCACAGTTAAAATGAATTCTGTAGCTATGGACCTGTTCTGTTTTCTCTGCAGTTGGAGAAAAGCATTGAGATTATATATGTGTTTTTAGGAACTGGCTTTTCTTTGGCATTGTCCTTTTAGCTGCATAGTGGTAACTTCTAAGAATCACAGGTGCCTGCGCTGGGCTCCTTCTAAAGTAAAATTACTGGGATGGTAAATCCTTGATAGATTTTTCTTTTTAAATTGCACTTTGACAATTGTAGCTATTTTTTTCCTCTGGTTACTGGGTCATTTTTTCTATTACTAACTACCAAATGTTGGAAGCTTTACAGAATTCTATGATTCTGTGATGTTGGAAGCTTTATGAAGCCTTCTATGTAAAACATGCTAAAAATATCCTTTAAACCTCATTATATCATGGAGAAAAGATGTGCTCCTAAACATGGGCTGGTTGACCAGTAATGGAAAAGGGCTTTCATGGATGATTTTGGTCATGGTGATTTAGATGAAGTAGTTTTGATGTAAAAACAGGTCCTTTATTCTTCAAGTTTCTGTTGAAATATTCCTAAGTTTATTTTTCAGGAATGCTGAGAAGTGTATTAGTCCCAAGTGCCATCAGAAAGGATGGGCAGTCACAGGGTGAGGCATGTCTTGGGCTGTTCACCATGGCTTTAACTGTCATTTTGTCCTCATGAGGACTTTAGAGGTTCTTTTTAAGGATCTTCCTCCTGGTTTATATCGTAAAAAAGCTTCTGTTGTACCTAATGTATCTACATTTATTCCTAATATTTGAAATGTGGTTTGAAGGCCACCTTAGCAGGCTCCTCTGAGCAATTTTAGAAGCACCAATGAACCTTGCCCAGTTCCCTGGCTATTTTGATGGAACTGATGGAAGGAAAATCTGTGGAAAACACACCCAGAGGCAGGTATCCCTGTGCTTCTTGGTGTCTGCAGAGGGCAGGCAGAGAGAGGCTGCAAGAAAAGGGTGTCCATATGCTGCTGTTCTTGGGCGTTTGTTGACTCTTGGAATTAGCCTCTTGTGCCTCAGTGGATCCATGTGCAATGTGAAACACCTCTAAAAATAGGTTTCACTCCCCTGATGGTCTGCTAGCAGTGTATGCAAACAGTACAGCGGCAGCTCTGCTCATCATGGTGAGGCTGATGCCAAGGTCAGCTTCTCTGGTCTTAAGAAGTTTAATAAAAATAGCAATAAAAATCAACAGGCTTGAGAACCAAGACCTAGTAACCCTTTAGTCAACCTCATAACCACTGTTCTATGCAAGTGTGCTGGAACTCGGGGGATTCCTCAGCTCTCCTGCTTTCGCTGGCACTGCTGTATATCATGGCAGCTATACCACTCTCCAAGCAGGAGTGAACTAGATTTTACAGCTTGTTTCCTGCACTCTTTAATTAACTGTAAAATCCATTATTGAGAGACACAAAGCAAATCTTGTCCCTCCATCACCACTTCTGGCCCCAGGGAGCAAGTGACCGGGGCTGGAAATCGATGCTGTTCTCTCCTGAGCCCAAGTCTGCCACGAGACCAACTGGACCTGCCACCTCCCTGCCCTTATACTGGTGCTGAAGAGAAAGGAACCAAATGAATCAGAACATTCAGAGTCTCTGTTTTAAAAGTGAAGGAAGGAAAAAGACTCCAGGAGACTCATTTGTTGGGTTTTGCCCTTCTACTTGTGTGACTCCGTTTTTCCTACTAGACCTTTTGAGTATCTCATCTCTTGACTTGCATCCTCACTGTACTCCCAGTGTCTGACTCATTACTGAGAGACTTTTTGGAGCTCTGTATTTGGGATGAGAAAGCACTGAGGAACTGACAAAAGGAGATTTCTGTTGTCTACTCCTAGGGGCTCCCCCATCTCCTTTTCCATCATCATCTCCATTCAAGTATTGGGATCAGGATTTATTTTTTACTCTGAAGGAGTACCCAGGATTTTGAAGGAAAATATTCTAGGTTCCCTAGTCCCAGAATTTTGTTGTTTTTTTTTTATTTCCAAATCCAATATTTATGCTATCCTGAAAAGGCTAGCACCTAAATGTGATTAATTATCAATGTGAAGATAATTTTCTTCTTGTTACAATTATGATTTCTTTATGGCAATCTGTGGCAGTAGATGTCTCTTGCACTGTTTCTGCATGATGTCCACCCCTATCTCTCTGAACCTTAGCACACCTTTGTCTATCCCTTTGGAAAGATAATGGAGTTAACTGCAGGCCACTCATAGGATATGTGGTAGGCAATATTTTTGAGGCTTCACTTGCCATGACTAATATTATTATTTTAAATCTAGAGGAGGTAGCATCTGTCATTAACAGCTTGTTCATCATTAGATCTTTTTTTTAGGAGAAATCAAAAATGTCTTCAAAGAAGTTGAAACCCTTGTACTTTAAGCAACAAAAATTCAAATTCTGTCCTCTCCTTGAACAATCTACAGTTGTGTTTACAGTAGCTATCAGAACTACTGGGTAATGGAAATGTATATCCCCAGTAATTTAATACAATCAGTGAAAGCTTTTGTAAATCAAAGTGTTTTATTCTCAGAGAGTCACTTAAAATCCTGCTGAGCTGTATGGTGAGACACATTCTCTGCTATAGGGGTTTTTCTTCATTTTTGTATTGATTTTTAGGAGCTTGAGAGTTAAACCATGCCAGGAGTGTTGCTGAGATGAATCACTATTATCCAAAGGCCACCAGCCTCTCTGCCGACTGACAGAAGGATAATTCCGCATGGATCAAATAAATACAGATGTGTAGTAATTAGTTCTATTCCCAGAGAGCCCATTTCCAACACACTAAAGATGTGCACGATTATGGAGCCTCACCCCAACAGCTTTTATCAATTTAAACTGCTAAGCTACAGGATAGGTCATAACCCAGACTGCTATTAATAATGTATTTATTGTGTGCAACGTTATAAATTAGGTTCATGGAATAGAAAAGAACACCTTTTAACAAGAATAATGTTATCTTTATACAGGAGCAGCACATGTGCCTTGCCACTCAGCTGAAGTACAGTCCCAAGACAATCAAAAGAATAAAAATTCTTATCCAGAGCAGAGATGCCTACATTATTGGAGGGGTTCCCCACCAAGATGATTTAGCAGTGGCTGACATGCTCAGTGTGCCTGTCTTGGGCTCGCTGCCGGAGGTGGCTCATCTCTACAGCACAAAGTCTGGAAGTAAACAAATTTTTGCCAGTGCTTGTGTGCCAACCCCTCCTGGAGCATCTGACATCTCCACCAATGAGCAGGTAAGCAGGACATGGGCTGGGCTGTGTCAACACACAGAGACCTGTTTTCGCTTGGTAGGATGCAAACTTTGTACTCTTGCAGTGACTGTATTGATTGGACCCTAAGTAGGTCTGACTAAATCATGTATGAGATTGTGTTATTTTTGGCTGTCTCTGACCAGTTCAATGCAGTTGGTGTCCTGGTCAGGAGGTGATACGATTGTTCTGGTGTTCTTCATTTTCAGGAGAATATAGAAGGGTGTTTGGTGCAGATATTTCAGAGAGATTATTGTTGCTCCATGGATGAAGTCATGGCCTCAGTGAGGTTGACAGGAGTTTTACCAGGGACTGAAAATAGAACAGGGATTTCTGGGAAATGAAGTATTTGATGAAGGGAAAATTTCTTCCATGTAGGAAGTCAGCCTATTCAAGTGGAGGTTCCCTGAGCATTTCTGCAGCTGGAGTTTTACCTTGTACTTGGCTTCTCACTGCTGAATTCACCTTGTCTCCTTATCATGACCAGGCAGAAAAGAACAAAATATTACTAAACTACAACTGTAAAGGTTTTCTGTACTGTACTGTTCAGTTTGCAAATGGTTCCTTTGCATTCAGTGCCTCAGTATTTCATTCCACAACCTGACTTTGCAGTTTGCAATGATATGTCTAAATATGATCTGTACTGATTTTTTAAAATATTTTTATGGTGGTGCTATATCTCATTCAGGAAAATAATCAGAGCCATGGTTTGAAGGTATTGGTGCTTTTTAGAGGGGCTTTGCTTTGCTTTTTATTCATCACCTTTAACGTTGCAAACAATCTCAGCTACACAGATACATTGCAACTTCTATAGCCAATGAAAGGATCTGAAAAACAACTTTGATTTATTGTTAAATAATTTATGTGAATCTAATCCTTGACTCGTATTACAGTGCTATGAAAGTTCCACTTCTCTTTTTTGTATGAAATATTGACATTTGAAGTTAAATAATCAAAACAAGGTGGCACTGTTAAAGCACAATTCCATTTGCACTTAAAGATAGCAGATAATTCTGTATGTTTGGTACAGTCCTTACAACATTATTGATCCTGCTCATTACTGGAGGGAAGTCATAAAGAAAAACACATTTATGCAGTTCTCGAAAGCCATCTGGAACAGACATGTCATTGTATTTTAGGTCAATGTTAAAAAAAAAAAAAAGCAAAAGTCCCCAAAATGACTGAGTAAAAACATAGGAGGCTGTAGCCGATGCAAGATCTGGTAGCACTTCTACCAGGTTCAAAGGCATTTGCAGTTTTTAAGAAGCTAATTGCATCCTACACCAGCTGGGCACAAGGCATTTTGAAGCCATTTAAATCTGTGTACATACACAAATAAATAATTAGCATTTTTAAAAAGCCTGCCTGGTAACTCTTTTGTACATTTATAACGATATACTGTTCTTTTCAGTAGGAAAATTTCACAGATGTTTCGGCTGTTGTTAGAATCTGGCACAATTATTTCTCAGATTTTGCAAACAGTGTAGTCCCTCCCATGTTTGTTCCTGTCACAAATATTTATTAAGCTGTACTGATGATCCAGACTCCTAATTGGATAAAAAAAGCTTGGACAGACAAATTCCTCTCTGCAGAATCCAGCTCCAATGACCACCAAAAGTCTCTATGTGATAGTCTGCCCACGTGGGCTCAAGCACAGGATGAAGGCCATAGGTTCTTCATCATAAAATTGGTCAGGGTTGGTTTTGCAAAGTATCCAAGATAACTGTAACACCACAAGCATCTCTAAGAAGCAGACACCATAGTTAGAAAATTAAGTTCAAGTCTAAATAGTTGAGAACTGGAAGTCTAAATCAAGGAACAACATTGTCAAAGTGTAAAATGTGTCTGTGTGGTTGCTCTGCAGATGATCAGTGTTCTCAGCCAGCTTGTCCTTGACAACATGGAAGTGCAGCGTTGGTTTTCAAAATGAACAATGAATCTGGAGGCAATGGCACTGCCTGTTGTGACATTATTTCACATCTGAAGTGCTACCACTGGGTTCAGAAGGAATGTCAGAGATACAGCCCTGAGATGTGGACTCAGAAATGGGCACGTGTAAGTAACAAAGGAGCAGGGGATCTTATTTGTTGTCATGGCTTCTCATTAGTCCACTGGGCTTCTTCCTCAGTTCTTTTTATCCAAAGTGAGGATGTAGGAATGCAAGGATATAGGAGAGCCTTCTATCTACAGAGAAACTTGGAATTGCTAGAGTTGAAGTGTTTGACTGATACAGTTGAATATTGCTATTGAAACCACAGGCAAACTGCTTGCTTTTTAGTCTGGCTTTGAAGGACTGGTTTTTCTCTATATTTTTCCTCACTAATAACTTTTAAACCTTTTAGCTGTTTTCACCTGTAAAGACAGAACACTTGAGGTCTCAGAGATCATTAGGCTCCTGCATGTTTCATTACAGTGGATGTTTAGGTGAAGAGTGAGACCTTATAAATACTTAACTGAGGGAAACAGTATTGCATGAACTTGTGCACTAATTCCTAAGAATCCATGTGATTGAGAGAGACTGTGAGATGATACATTTCAACTGCAGAAAAATCCATATGAAACTAGACTTCATTAGTTCTGATACTCAGAACTATTTGTAGTTTAAATATTCATTGGTATTTAAATGTGTTAATTTCAATAAGCATTTGATATTTCTGTATATTGTGCCAAATTCTTTCCTAATGTAATGGTTTTAAAGCCAGAAGGAATGTATCCAGAAAAAATGGTTTGATTTACATAAACTGCTCATTCTACCTCTTTTGATTTTTTTAGTTCAATCAAAACTGTTTTGAAATTTTTGTTTGATTGAATTATATTGAATATTAAAATTCCAAATAGCACTGATTACAGTTCTGTTGCATTTGACAACTACAAAATAATTCCACATTATAAAAGAGAGCTTCTCATCTCAAACTGAAGAGCTAATTTCTCTGCTGTGCTAAAGATCCCTCCCTCAGTGCTGCTGAGCAGTATGCAGTATAGCACTGAACAGCTGCCCCACTGGAGGCACTGGCTGGCCACTGGGATGAACAGGGAACACCATATCCAGCTCCTGCTCCCACCATCTGAGGCAGTGGGGCAGAAGACATGATCCACCAAGTCTAGTTCTTTGCTGGTATAAATTCCCATATGTATATAAACATCTATAAGTGGTATTGGCTGGTGATTTTGCCCCCTCCCTGGAGGTGTTCAAGGCCAGGTTGGATGAGGCTTGTGCAGCCTGGTCTGGTGGGAGGTGTCTCTGCCCATGGCAGGGAGGTTGGAACCTGATGGGCTTTAAGATCCCTTCCAACCTTCACCATTCTGTGATTCTGTGGTGTTTGCCTTCCTGCTTATGTGCCTTCTTAATTCTTGCCTGGCTGAGTCAGCCAGTCAACACCATGTCCTTCAGGCAATCTATGGCTTCCCCTTTATTTAGTTGAGCTGTGATGCAGCCAGGAATTCACCCTTTAGAAGCCCTTAAACATAAACATTTGTTGGAAGAGATCCATGGAATAATATATTGTTTTCCTAGAGTGGGCAGGAGAACTTTCATAAATGCAGAGCAGTATTGAAGTGGGCATTTGATCCCATTGTGAACGTCTTGTTTGCATATGTGTGTTCAAATGTTTCTGCCTTCTGAGTTGAGCCCTTTTTTGTAGAATGGGAGACCTTTTTTATATCTAATGAATTGCAGTCTCCACTGAGTATTACCCTTGAGAGCAGAGGATTAAAATCCTCCTTTGTTAAGGAATACCATTGTAATGATACACGTTTAAACATCAAAGAATTAGTTTATGAGCACAGGCATGCTTTAATGTCCTATTACAGTCTGTAGACCTGTTTCTTTTGATAATGAAGACATTGTGTCATCAGCAAAGGCTGCCAAGTACAAAACGGATGCTGGCAGGTTATTAAAAAATTCAGCTTCTTGATGAAAGACTATCCTGCAGGCTAAGAGTACAGTGAAAAGACTCTCCATCGTGGTAGAATTATTAGAAATGAGAATATGACTGTAAGCACTAAATTATGTTAATACTTACAAATAGCATCATTTGCATAGCATTTTAAGACACGACACCCAGATTTTCCTCATTGGTATGTAGTAGGCAACAGATTAAAAATAATGTAGTTGGGGAGTTTGAACTGTGTAAAAATCCATTCCATCTAAAAATGGGACTGATTTTAGATTCCTCATTTCAAATATAACATTGGGCAAACAGAAATGCAGGACAGGATTATCGATGTGATTTACCTTGTTAACTTCATGCACCGTCTGAGTTATCTGAACAATTATTTTGCATCTGCAGAAAGGGTAGAATTCACAAACTATGCTGAATGTCTCTGCATGCCTTCGTCCTACTGTGCACTGCTGAAGCCTGTCAGCATCCTGAGGCTCAGATTCTAATGATATTCAATACCAAGAGATCTGCTGTGAGGCTGTTTGTGGAGATGTTCTCCAGTGGGAAAAAGAGTATCAGGATCTGGCCCCAGTTATGTGCAAAAAGATCAGTAAGTCCTGAGACACTAGCAATTCAATTGTCTCTTGCAATGTGAATGTGACTCTTGGAGGGACACATTTTTAACTGTTTAACATATGCACATAAGGCTTGTGTGCTGAGTGAAATGCTCTCATGCCATCTCCTAGCATGATTTTCCAACCTATTTTCTGTACCAATTCAAGCTTTGGTTAGTCTGTGCATAGCAAAAAATGTGATTCTACTGCTGGAGCAAGTGAAAAACAATGGGACAATTGCATCAGGGCCTGTTTGGAAGAGCTAGAGGTTATCCATAACACTGATTAATGGATGGTGCTCCAAAGTATGCTAAGCAGCACACTCGGTATCTCAGTCCTGTTGAAAATAAGCAGTTCTGTTTTTGGAAAATCTCACCTATGCTTATGTGGACCCTTTTTGGGAAACTATAAATTAATGGAAGAAAAACTATTAACAGTTATCACTGGTGCACTCTCTGGCTTAGCAGGATTCTGAGCTGAAAATGGTTGGAGACTTGGAGAGTATCTGGGGAATGGATGTGCTTGCTCTGTTCTCATACTTCCCTGGGCATCCATTTGTGACCACTGTCAGGGACAAGATTCAGGGCTGGGCAGACATGTACAGCCATGCCTTCCTGACCTTGAAGAAAGATGCTCAGATGCCCACTAGAATTCAAGCCAAAGTGGTCCACATCATCTCTTTGATGCCTTTTGTTTAGTTTTGAACAGACACCAGGCTGTCAAAGTCTGTGGTCTCTGACTCCGAATCTTGGGATTCAAACTCTGACAATGTTTGGAATCTTCTTCCCTTTTCCAGGGGAGATAATTCACCTTTCAGTTCCTTGTTGCCTTTTTTCATCTTCAGCAGTTCCCTTTCTACATAAAATAACCCAGGACTATGCAAAGATCCCTCTTTAACTATAGAAATCTAAATAGTATCTAAATCACTGGATTAAATTAATGATCAAATTAATTTTACAAGTCACTTTTATTAAACTGTGACTCTTGATTAACCACCAGGATTGGCAACATTATTGGAGTTACCTATCAGAAATCCTAAAGACAACAAAGATCAGACTGAACTGAGAAATAGTGAATAAAGAAGAGCTAAAAATACAAGAATAGAAGACACAGAAAACCAAGCAACAGCTATTCTCTCAATAAGCCATTATAATTGGCCACAGCTACACAACCATTTAAAAAAATCTCCATTAAATATCTGTTGCAAAAGAAAAAAAGCCATTTCATGAGCTTGGGAAGCCAACTGTTTTAAATGTTGGTGTTTGAATTTCACTGCCTCAGTTGTGTCACAGCATTTGGTCATGGTTTCTTTTCCTGATAGACTGTGTCTTAGTTCATTCACTACAATATGTAACAGGAAATCGAAATCAAAATCTTTTCAAAAGGTGACAAATCTGGAAAATCCAACTTGTAGTCAGAATTGCATCAAGCAATATTCAGACACTGGGTGCTGGATTTTGCATTGAGTGGTATTGGAAAATTACAGTGTCAAAGGCCAAGATAAAATGCAGCAAAAAGTTTTTGGTCAGCTTTTAAAAGTCCTGTAATAAGTAATTAGATAAACTTCTGATAGTCTGAAAATCAGGAATAGCAGTGAGCAGATTCTTTACTGGTTGAATGAATTGTATTTGTTATAAGAAACCTGAAGTTTACATACCACACCTTGTTTCTTTACTAAGGTAGGAATTCAGATTAAAGATCACGTGTTTACAAATAGGTCAAAAGAAACCCATATATGTAATTTTAGAACCACGGCATGTCCAGCACATGATGGTTTCTGACCATCTTTGTGCACAGTCTAACTGTCTAACTTCCTAACCCTGCTTTTTTCCTTCGCTTAGCCATTCTCATTTTCATCATTCCAATCACCTTTGTAACACCACCAGCTTTGTGCAATGCTACAAATATTCCTGAAACTGGAATAAATTGGAAGCAATTGAATTGGTTGTAGTTTAACACCTAAAGTCTACTGAGGGGGTTGTTAACCAAAAGTGTGATTTGCTGCTGATGTTTCTATGTATGTGCAATTGCAGGCGTGGTGATTTTTTTCAGCCTGAAGAGGGCCAAAACCTCTGACAGATACAAAGAAGATGCATTTTGGCTTTTTGACAGGCGTTTAAAATTTATCTAATGGCTAAGAGGCTTAATAGGAAAAAAATAAAAGAACCCAAGGACTTCAGAAAGAACTGGGTTGCCTATAAAGTGGATTATCTATAAAGTGACACAGAGTTGTCATCAATATATCCTAAATAATTCCAATATTCCCTGTACCTGCAAACAGTCCATAGTGCTCTTACTCTGTTTATTACAATATCTGTGTTATCTACCATGCTGATGTTCCAGGTAATGCTCAAATCTTAAGTAAAATAAAGCACTCTACTTGTATCCCTTGGTTAAATAAAGCCAGGATACCCATTCCTAAGCCTCGCAATAATCAGATATGCAAGCTGTTGGTTTTCTATGTCCTATTGATTTAATATGCTTCTAATCAGTACATAAAGCTATAGGCCTGCAGTGTTAATTTTTCATATGCTTACAAAGTACCCTTTGATTTTCTGTC